AAAAGATTTACTTTTTGTTTATCTTCAACCTAGTGTAAATAAGAATTCGTAAAACCTCCCAATTTTGACTTTACAATTTGATGACGTCACAGTGAAAACCATCCATAAAAGGAGTGTATTCACAATTATAATGAAGATCATTGATGATGATGATGATGATAGCGGAGCATCTACCCATCCAAGAAATTTGGGTAATCACGTGATCGTACGCTTTACTGACCGTCCGTCCGCACCACAGGTTAACCAATGTTCAATCTTAACACTTTCTAGCTAGTTTGGGAGCGCAGGAAAACTGATGTTGCACACATATTGCACATCAATGTTGTGATCATTTGACAGCTGTCAAACAGGGTATCCGCTGACTAGTATCACCTGACCGTATCGTCGGCGTAGCTGTCCACCCATCGAGTTCGAGTATTTTTTGAAGTTATCCGCTGACAAGTTACTAGTTTTCAAACGATCGCGGGCTCAAGTTTAGTTCTTTTAAATTCATGACATATATTGCGTTTGTGTGCCGCACAATTAAAATTTTTTATTTCAAACTGACCTCGGACGCGAAAATTCAGCCAGCTATTACAGGCAGGGAAGACAGTTGCTTTTGACTTTCCTCACCATGGTCACGCGTTGATCACGCTCTGTGCCGCGGGGCTAAAGTGCAGGTCACAGGTCACAGGTCACGGGTCAGATCACAGGCCACAGGTCAGGTCACTGGTCAGATCACAGGTCACACACAAAAACCACAGGACACTGGACAAAACTGTTCTTGATTGACATTTTATTATACCAAAATAAAACAAGCCAAGGAAGCTCAATTATATTTTTTCTATTCTGAACTTTACCAAATTCCACGCATGAGAAAATATATTCATGTTGATCACGCAAGGAGGACTTGCATTACAGCGTAACCAAAGTTGGTAATGAAATCACAAAGGTACGCAAAATCACGTGATTTGTAAGAAAAAACGAATCTCAAAACGAAGGGTTGTTGTGTTAAGAATATCAGGACGTGTTTGTGGATGTTTTGAAAGGCATTACACGGGAAAACGGAAGAAAAACTTACGGACAGTCTAAAACTTATTTGAGCACTGAAATACGGCAACTTTCTTCAGACTTTACTCGTCCTAAACTGTTCTTGCCACTAGATCGGTCTTCCATCTCTTTTGAAGATGGCGGCCTGTTGCTCGCGCTTCGCACCAGCCACAAAATGCCTCTGTGTTAAAGTGTAGTCGGCCAGGAACTTCAGACACTGCTATTTGGGCCTCTCGAATACTTGCTGGTCCTTATTTCTCGGCTCTTTTCCCAAAATCTTGCCATTTCCTCACCTTCTGTTGGACAACAGCTTATTGAAAGTATGTTGGATTTACCTCGTGGCCCTTAGGTGGGAGCATTCCGCCATTACAACTTGAATCTTTGACTCTGTAAACTGCTAATGTATCAAAGGATTACAGTGCTGCATGTCAATGACTCGTTCCAAGTTATCTTGGCTGCACGGCTTATTTGGAGATAACATTCTAATAACACGACAACCCTTCGTTTTCAGTGAAAAACGTGTGATTTGTTTTTCGTAGAAATCACATGATTTTGCAAACCTTTGTGATTTCCTTACGATATGTCGTATGATCAGCATGAAAATATTATTCCACGTGTGGAATTTAATATTGTTTAAAGGACAAAAATATCATCAAGGTCCCTTGGCTCTTTTTATTTTTGTATAGTAAAACGTCAGTCCAGAACAGTTTAGTCCAGTGTCCTATTGTTTATGTGTGTGACCTGTGATCTGACCTGTGGCCTGTGACCTGTGACCTGACCTGTGACCAGTTACCTGTACTTTAGCCCCGCAGCGCTCTACGTCCAATTTTTATGCTCTGATTGGTCAATTGCAACCTGTTTACTTTGACAGCTGAAGCTGAAAAAGTTTTATGTCAACTTGTGATGCTCTTAACTGTCTTTCTCTACTTGGATGAACAAAATGAAATTCAGCTGCCGTCAAGAGTCTTCTGTTATTCATGGCTAGTATGTTTATTGGGTTTTTGGTTTAGAAATACTTCGCTTGTCAAAGTCGGAAATCCTATTTCAGACGGCATCGTTTTCGTTTTTCACCTTGCTTGATGCGTAAGAAAGTTGAAAAGTCTGAAGCGATTCTAGCCTTACTTGATAGCTTCCAGAAGCTGCATCTTCAATGGTAAGCCTGAGCAATTATTGTATTTGACGTGACGGTTTTTTATGTCTAATTTAACGAAGTCGAGCGTAGTTTATGCGGCTATTTAATTTATGCACGTTTGTAAGATTTGAGACAATGATCTGACCGAGTCTCAGGTTTGATATAAGTTTACAGAACTTTATTAGACATTTTCTCACCACAAATAGAAAGAAAACGTTCCAAAGAATATTTTGTTATAATTCTGGCCCGGTTAAAGAAAGCTTTGAGCGATTTTCTTGCCTCAAGTTCGTCTTTGAAAAAAGCAAACACCGGGAAGCAACGTTAAAACATAAACCTTTAAGCTTTATGCATCAGTCAATTCCAGCTGCGCCTAACCCTCCCCCCGGGCTGACCCCCGGGCATTAGCATTTTTTTTGCCTTGGATGGCAAATTTCCGAGGGTGGGGACTCTTGAGCTGTCAAGTTCCCCGGGGTGGGGACGAAAGAGGAGGGCAAATGCCCCGTCCTCCGTCAACACTGCAAATTTTTTCATTGATCGCACAGTCGAATAGTGTTTTAAGCATTTTAATGAGCGATTTTTTGTTTTAATTAACGTCTTCCTTTGTAATAGCGCTAGGATTCTCATGAAGACTTCACCCCGCGACGACACGCACCAGCAGGGGCGGATCCAGGATTTTTTTCAGGAGGGGGTGCACTTGTCTCTTGCTCTACTTCAACACCAATAAACCACATAGTTTTTGTTTTTTTTGAAGAATACCAGTTGTATTAGAAAACCGCAGGTCATCTTAGGGCATTACCAAGTGCGACAGTACACACCCTCCCCCTAGATCCGCCCCTGACCAGTAAATAATTTTAGTTCAGATGTAAAGTTATTGACATTAAAATTAATAGAGTGCAGTAAAGTTATATGTTATGAATAGTTTTATAAATATGAAGCTTTTCAAAAATTATCAACAGAAATTTGATTCAATGACCAAAAAACGTTGATTCACGTCGATAGCTCCCGATTTCGCTATGTAATCCTGGCTCGATAAGCAATGAAGAAATGCATGCATAAAATCAAGAACATGGCTTTACAACCCTCTTCAATTTTTTCCTGTCCTTGACAGATGGGCCAATCTGCTTTCTTTCCCAGTAAAAATTGCTGTCTCTGTATATGTTTCACCGAATTATAGTTCTTTTATTGATTGTCAGTAGTCTCTCCTGCAATTTTCATCGCTTTAAGGAAACATGATTAATTCTTTATTATGTTGAAGCGTAACTCTATTAATGCCCATTCAAACACTCCACAGCTCATAACCGGCTGGCCGTATAGGTGGTGATTTTAGAATTTTTTTCAATTAGTAGTTTCGGTAAAAGCTAACGCGTGCCTCGATCGCCCTGAATATTGAATGAGTGCAATTTGTATTGCAAAATTGTGGAACTCTGCATTCTATCCGAGGTCTGTATGATAAAAACAGCGCCTCATAATAGTTTTACCTCAGATGTGATGTATAAAAAGCATAAAAGGTTGGGTTACACGCCCTCAGATTTGCATTGTTAGCAAGATTTTGTAAAGCGAACTTGTCGAACGCAAAAAAATTCGGCCTGATTTGTTTTCCAAGCCTAATCTACAGTAATCAAGAGCCATTATGGCTCTTCAATGTGATCGAAGATGATTGCTATTTTTTGGGTGTACATATAAGGCTATCAACTCGTTGTCAGATTTGGTTCACTCTTGGACTGTTTGCAAATTATTTTTCTCTAAAATCACGTATCCTTTCCATCCCTCAAAAGTCACATGAATGTGCTCTGAGTTAACTGATTTGTGGAATACAAGTTTATTGTTTAATTTAAATTACAAATTTATTAATGGCAGCTTCGCTTTTAGCCCTTGCTAAATCTATATATTACGTAGAGACTATTGTTGCAGTCTTTAAGGATACATATGTACATCTGTTATAAAATATTTCCTGTACCAAAGGCGTAATGCGAAAGGAGAAAGCCATTAGGAGTAGATGCTCGAAACTCCTGCCCCCCCCGCCCCCCTTCCCTAACCAATGACATTTCCATTGATCAGCACTAAACAAGGTGTATTATGGGCAATGTGAAAGTGGTGTAATTTATAATTTCTTTTGTCTAGGTATCGTAGCTTTGCTACATTGCCATTGTTCTTTATAATGTTCCTTCGTACGTTCTGATCTAGTTATTGTAATACCGTAAAATTCTGAAAATAAGCTCCGGGGCTTATATTTTTCAAAGGCCCTTTTTGAGGGGCTTAGTTTTGGAGGGGCTTATATTCGGAGGGGCTTATCTAAGGAGGGAAATTTGCGTTTCAAAATCGATAGGGCTAGCCTTATAGTTGGAAGTAAAATTACCGTTTTTGCTTTGTTTTACTTTGTATTTGGGAGCAATTTTCCAAGTACAAGCCCCCGGGGGGCTTATATTTGGAGGGGCGATTTAACGGAGGGTTTTTTGTGTTACCGGTTTGGGGGGCTTATATTTGGAGGGGCTTATTTTCGGAATTTTACGGTACCTTTAGCTTTGATACCTTTGAGACTTACGTATTTTTGTGTTTCGTGTCAATGAAAACCAGCTGTATTTACAACACCTTTAACCTTTAGTTCAAGTATACTGTGAACAAGGCGTTCAACTCTATCCTTTGAATTAACAGTAAGTATTCAGGGGCGGATCTTGGGGGAGAATGCAGGGGGTGCGCCCCCCCCCAGATGACCTGCGGTTTTCTAATACAACTGGTATTCTGCAAAAACTATGTGGTTTATTGGTGTTGAAGTAGAGCAAGAGACGAGTGCACCCTCTACTAAAAAAAAATCCTGGATCCGCCCCTGCTATTAGTTCAATTACCTGACATTTTTCGATTTCTGTTTATTCAGAAGTCCTATCTTCTTTTCCTTCGCAGAATTCAAACTACCATTCGCCTTTACCGTTGGTGCGACTTTAGTCGAATGGTAAACACTAGTTGTATTGTATATTCTCTTCTCTTCTTTCCACATTGCGGTGTCGTACTTCCTTCCTTGTGTTGCCACGAGAATGCATTCTATTAATTCCTCGTTAAATTCAAACGGAACCTTATGAACAAAAAGTTTGTCTTTCTTTTCTTCTCCCAGCACCCAGCGTAAATCTTGGAAGGTAATCCAACATAGCATTCGCACCCATTTCCCACGACAAATGCCACTGTTTTCCTTACTAATCCAATACAAGGCCCGTGGTATCCATGTTGGTTGATTTCCGTTGATTCCGCCTGGAACTCATGGATGTCTTTATAAAGATGAATATGTCGTTTAATCCGGTGTTCGAGTATCTTTTAAGAATTCATAGAAGTGTTTTCCTATTTGACCATGAAGAACAAATTCGACGAATTGTCTTATAGCAATAATATGTGTTGATCCTTTATAGATTGAAACATTGGGTGGTGGCGGCCCTTTTGGCTTTTTTGTTTTGTATGTCCGGCCGTTTTTTAATATGAAAACAAATTTAGTTCGACCTAATTCATATCTGGGCAATGGAAAACTTTCTATGCTGTTGGTATTGTTAAGACCCGTAATGCTTTTACAACCTGCTTGTAATCATAAAGTGGAAAATCCTGCCCAACTAAACTAATGTAATATTCCCACTTAACTTGTGATTTCAAAAGCTCTTCCATGCAACTAAATTGAGCTTCAACTACAGTAATATGTCCCCAGTGGACGTCAACACTGTTTGCTGCGATAAAAACGTTTGGAAGGCAGCGTATAGTGGCCTGTATCGCTTTACGGAAGACCTCTGAGAAGTTCTTGTCGATGTGGATGCAGTACACATTGTTTGGCACGTAAATAGCTCGTACAATTCGGTCGAGCAGACGCGAACCTTTATGAACAGTGAGACTAAAAGCGATCGGAAGCTGCTTTTCCGGCTTCTTTTGACGCAGGAGGATGAACAAAACGAGTTTGTAAAACACTTGCGCAATCTTGATCAGGCCTTTAGACACGCAGAATTTCTGAGTCATTTGATGAGATTTGAGTCTTTTTGATTTTTTCCTCTCCAGATATAAGCCTCTTGCATCTTTTCCACTTGGATTCCCTAAATAGAAATGGTCGCCGCTAAGGTTACTGGATTAAAGTGTTAACCTGTGGCAACTTAGTCATCTACAATACCAATACAAGAGTGTAAACGCTTTAGGCTCTTTTTAAACGCTCTTTTTTTCTTTTTGAAAGGCCTTGGAGTCAAGAAATACGAATGTTACGATCGGTTTTGGCCGCAGGAAAATTGGAGCGAGAGCCATCCTCCCCGCTCTTTTACTCGCTCCATTTTTCGCGTGGTCTTTGACTCTCGATCGTGTCTCGTTCTTTGCTCCTAAACTACACAGAAAAGCTTGCCACACAGACTACGGAAAAAAATAAACCTGAAACTGCGCTATGCCGGTCAAATCACGTGTCTTAAAAAGTCCCCTGTAAAATGCCTCACAGAACCGTAGCGAAAACTTGCACTGGAATACGTAGGCTTACTTGTGTATTGAACTCATAAATAAAGCAGCGTTGAAGGGGGAAACAAAATCCTTTAACTTGCATAGCAACTTTGCTGCAAAACAAGTTAAAAAGTTACGTTCAAACCTCTCATGTTGCAAGTTGTCAGTGTCAAGTTGTCAGTGTATTGGGCCGGTAAAACGCGTAACATGTACAGATTTTGTTGCAAATAGTAGAACTCTCTTCTTTCCGCAACAACTTCTAGCAAACTGCATCAACCTGATTTGTTGCAAGAAAGTTTGATTCGTGGCTGGTAAAACGCGCAACATTGCTATTCAACTCGTTTTGAAGCAAAGGTTGCAAAACAAGCTGCACGCTTTTGTTGCCTGTTTTACCATAATTTAAGGCTAAGTACAAAACGACAAACCCTTAAGACGATGAATACTATAATTTTCACTCTTTACCTTTTCCTTCGGAGAATAAATCCATTGAAGAATCTGATATAAAAACAAAAAAAGCATAATATTGTATTTCATATATATCACATACGAATAATAGAACTGTGTTGGTCCCTCTCAGCGATTTAATCTCACTCCTTTTACCTTTCCTCGCCATTATTCAAGTCCGATTTTTTTCTTAAAATAATTATTTTTTGAAAGTTTTTGTTTTTGTGGTAATTAAAAAACAAGAAACTTCAAGATTTTTACCGGAGCAACCCAATTGCTCATGAGCTGTAAGGTGGCTTGCCTTTCACTAAGACAAACGCAAGGTATGTGTGGGATTCGTTTACTTTCCCGTCGGTCCCCCTTGCACTACCCGACAATCTGTGCGGACGGACGCACGGGCTTAAGCTGACGCCATAAGAAAATTTTCTCGTCTGGGCTACGCTACAGTAAATGATCAGTTCACTCACAATATCAACAGCGACAGTGCAAACCGTTTCTATGGGAATGGATGGAAAATGATCTTTTTCTGGGTTTTTTGGTTTCTTTTCCAAACGAAATAGCCCATGATGATCCAGACTTTTATCTGTCCTTGTATTGTAGTAAAGGTGCCCAACCTAAATGTCGGGTAGAGGGAAGACGTGCTGTTGAGTGACCCTATCGTCGATTCTCGCTTTCATATAGAACTTTTTCACATGACGTCACTGCGACCATATTTGTCCCCCAAAGCAATGAAACGGCGGTGTCCCAAACGGTGTCCCAAACCAATCCTTTGAGAGTTGAACTCTTTTCTTATGCAAACTATTTGTCTTGTTCCAATAAATTTGCATAGATGCTGGCTACGTGGGAAATTTGACCTTGGACCAACGCCGTTTCTAGTTGCGATATCAAAGCGTCTGGAGAAAGAAGGTATTTTGGATACGGCGCTAGCTAAGAAATGCTCATTTCCAGCAACATGCTTGGGGATATTTCGCTTTTAAACGTTTATTGCGGTGCAGCGATGATAGAAGTTTGCCTCTGGTCGAAAAAAATCTGCGATTCGATGGGTTTTCAGGCCGCAAACCGCCTTCGAGTAGACAAGGTTCCAGAACGACGGCTGTTTTTCTGTGCTGCCTTTACTTCGTATTATAAGGAAAGTGACAAGCGTCAAACAATAATTGCCAAAAAACCCGACTAAATCGATGAATTCACACCAAAAAACATAGGAATACATCAAAGGTAAGTCTCCTTTTTTTATAGAAAAAAAAGTAAAAATAACAATATTTAGAGTTAGCAGACCTCAGTATTTTATTACTGAAACAGTGCTCAACCAAGGTCTTAACGGTTGCTTGTAACGCGACATCGACTCTCTACTGAGAAGGTTAATTTACATAACGCACTCGTAAAGTGAGCTTGGGACGCCTGTGGTTGAAATGATTCAGAGGAGAGCAGCTCGTTAGGTCCTGTCCTGGGGCCCGTTTCTCGAAAGTCCCGGTAACTTTTCGGGCCCGAAATCAAATATTCAAATCGAAATATAAAGAATGAGAGCGCGGGTCCTGGCTAGCAAACTACTCCATTTTGTTTCATTAACTGATAGTTTTATCATGTTAGATGCAAAACTATTGAAACCTCGATTTTTAATGTAAAGGGAGACAGCTTACCGGGCCCGTTAATTATCGGGACTTTCGAGAAACGGGCCCCAGGGCGTAATAAGCTAGGGCGTTGAAACGAGCGGGGTCGAGCGATCTATCTGTGATGCAAGGGTCTGGGTACTACCAAAGAGACAAAACAAGATGGCGGACATTATACGAGACCGTCAGAGAGTTTATCCAGCGAAAGTTAGCCATTATCCCGTGGCATTCATTTGCTGCAAGCAATAGCGAAGGAACAAACTATTTTTCTCACGTTCGTTTTCTGTTTTGTTCAATTTTTCCCCCGCGAACAAATATCTGTATTGAATATAGTTCCACATCCGTGACCTCGGTATTAACATTTCGTGTCTTGGTAACAAAATGGCATCACAACTCAGATGATTGCACTGACATCATTTTTAAAATAATATTATAGGTTCTTTACTTCAGTTTAATATCAAGTTGGGTAATTCATCATCTGCTATGGCATTCATTTTTTGCTGCCCAGTTTCAAGACCAGATGATCTGTTTTCATTATTAAAGTGCGGATTGTTGGTGAACATCAGTGTTCTTATCTAAACACCTTATTGAGCTATCTCCAATATTGAGCACTACAGTTGGACAGATTGTGAAAACTTAAGTCCGGGTAAATTTTAAATATAATAAAATCATCATTGTTTTTTATCTTGTACACTAATACTACTGTGCAATGAAGAATAAGTGTGTGACAAAAATATCATTCACTGCCCTTGAAAAAGTAACAAAGAGGTCGCAAGAACACAAATAAGTAGCCCAGCAAATATAAAAAATATAACAATTTGCATGCACAAACAAAATTTATAAAACCATTTCATATTTTTTTTGTAGCCGTTTATTATCATTTGGTTTTGACTGGCAAGATAAAACGCGACCTTCAACCTTCGATAGGCCATTTTGAACATAGACATAAAAGGCGAAAAAACACCTTAACTTATAAGACTAACTATAAAATACCACCTAAATATTTTCTGTATAGCGCATAGAAATACGTCAAATATCAAATCTAATTATAGATTGCAGTGATCTAAAGATATAGCGCAATAAATCCGAACCTACCTTCAGCTAGACGGCGCCATTGTTCTTGGCCTCACGGCGGGTCGAGAGCGGAAAGGCCAACTAGTTCCAGTCCTACTCCGCATCACAGCTGAACCAGAGAGCGCGTATGAGCGTTTCAACGCCCTAGCTTCTTACGCCCTGATCCTGTCACGTTACAATTGCCTTATGAATCTATTCATAGATAGGTGTCTCCCGCTGCCTTAAGCTAAAACGAGAGCAAAGGAACGGAAATTTCCATGGAAAATCCGTAAACTGGAAAATTTCTGAAAGCGAGCCACTAAGCAAAAATTCTGCAAGACAAATTACCGAGGAAGGGAAATTTCCTGGCAATTGCTTTCGAACTTTGGATATATCTCTCTGTGTTTGTAGCTCTCTTTTTTGTTTTGCTTTCTTCAGAATTGAAAAAAAAAGGGTTTTTTAAATATATAAATGGAAAGTCGGCATCCTCGGTGCTTTAAAGGCTTACCTTGCTATTTGTGTTTAGCATACTCGACTGGCGAACAATATCGACAAACACAATGAAGGCCAACATGACCTACAATATCGCCACAGTCTT